AAGACTATTCTCTATTCTAACAGGGCTGGATGGATAGCCTCAGCTTATGGAATGCTGGGTATAAGTTAGCCCTTCAAATATATGCTAAATAGATACATTTCTTTGGAGGTATAACATAGAATGGAGGTCTGTTTTTTGTTGTTGTTGTTGTTGTTCTGATAGCTTTTTTTGAGATAGATCTCACACTATGTAGCCCTGGCTGTGGCCTGCTACTATGTAAACCAGGTTGGCCTCGAACTCAGAGATCTGCCCAACCCTGCCCTTGAGTATAGGCTTCAAGGAGAGCACCCACCAAACAGGGCAAGAGCAGTGCCTTTTAATGAGGTCTGTTAAGGCAGGTGGCTTTCGAGAAGCAGCGGTTTTATGGCGGCAGAGGAGGAACGTTCAGTTGGAATGAGGCAGGTGGACGTCTGAGTCACGGAACTTCTTTCCATTCTAGAGAATATCAAGTTTGGTGCCCTTTCTGCTGTTGACTTTCCACAAGACAAGTACCTGCATTGCTACCGATGTCTACTGGAGACCGAAGAGTCAGGGTGCCTCCTGGGGTCTGACACCTGCCTCCTACCTCCGGGAAGTAGCTGCTTCACTGTGAGCATAAAGAACAGTAAGCTGACCCCTCCTCCTACCTTGGGCCATCTTCCCACCAGGCCTCTTCCCGTGTCCTGTGCTATACACCAAGTCTTGCTCCCACTGCCCTTAGACATTCCAGCACTTTCTGTCAGTTCCACAGCAGTCTTTACTCCTGCGTCCTCCTCAGCTCATAGCCAGCTGTCTCCCACTTTGCTGCAGTGTTCAGCCTGGAAGGGTCCTGTGCTCTCCAAAGGCACTGGCCTGGCCAGGGTGCCCAGCATCCCCTGCTGTCAGAGACTGTCCCGGGACATACTCTCTTCTCTTCCCAGCCTTGCTGACACCTAAGAGCTCCTGTTCAGCAAGGCTTGGTCCTTTGTTCTGGCATCACAGAGGTCCCTGTTGGCTTCCCCGGCTTTAACCAGCAGCCCCAGACTTCTTCCTAGCTCAGAATGGTTCTCCTTGCCGCCTCATCCCCAGACCTGCATTCAGATGTTTCTACATCACTTCCTGCTTGGAGGACTGATGGCACTCCCTCATTTCTCTTCTTCTACCCAACCCTCCACCTTTACTAAATTAATAAATACTTAGCGTGGACTATGTAGAGACACATCTAAGCACCTTGGAGCTGGTGTGTCCTCTGAAGTGGGCATCAGTGCCCCCATTTAACAGAAAAAACAGAAAGAAGTGCAGACAGAGTCAGAGCCTTGCCCAAGTCTCACAGGCCGAGTCAACACTAGTGGTGGCTCCAGAAAATGGTTCTTTTTTTCTTTTCTTTTGGGGCCAGAATTACACCATGTAACTCAGGCTAGCCTTGAACTTGTGATCCTCTTGCTTCCTCTTCCAGAGAGTCGTGATCACAGGAGAGCACCCAAGAACCTGGCTAGGGACGGTGCTCTTGATTGACAGCTGGCTTCAATACATGATCTCAGTCTTTTGCAGTAGGTAGAAGCTAGGCCAGAGCATGTTGGGCAGCCACTTTGCCACTACACTCTCAACATTTTTTTTTTAATAATATTTCACTATGTAGCCCAGGCTGGCCTCAAACTTGATTCTCCTACCTACCTCAGCCTCTCAGCATTAGGATTTCAGGTGTGTGAGCCTTCACTCCTGACTTGTTTACACTTTATTCGGTATTTTGAGATAGGGTTTCAGTAGTCCATGCTCCCTAGGTCTTCTGCAAGAGCGTTAAGCACTCTTGACCTCTGAACCATCTTCTCAGTCCCTTTCATCTGTGTTGCTAGGAATAAAACTCGGGCTTGTGACTGCATTCTACCACTGAGCCACACGGCACCATTCTATCCTGTTCTGTTATGGAAAACCACACCCTGTCTGCAGCCCACCCTTCAGTACACCTCCATGTCTTTCTCCTCATGCATGGTCACAACTTCCTATGCAAAGCTTCCATTGCCCAGACTCAAGGGCACCCCATTCCCGTCCAGATCTCTGTGGCTTTCTTCTGGTTCAGGGAAGGGTGTAAGAGTGGTAATGATATCTGTGTGGGCTGAGGGTGCATTTGGGGGCTCTGTGCCTGTGCTCCCTCCCTAGGCAGTGGTTTCAATGTCATGGTGAGTGGCTGCCACAGCAAGGAGCAGATGGTCCGTTGCTCCTTTACCCGCGCTTCCCCGGTGTTTGGCTTTTGGATATACTACCAGTGCTGCTTCCTGAATTTCTGCAACAAACCGAGCAACAGAGAGAACACCATGCACTAGGACGGCGGGAACCCGCTATGTCAGTCCAGCCACCCTCTGGATTTCCATCTGAGCCCATCTGGGACAACTCCAAAGCCCTCACCACAGCCCGCCCTCCTCCCATCCTCTCATATCGTTGGCCGCACGGCGGCTGGCCTCCTCTCTCCATCCATACCCACAATACTCTCCTACCTCCATTTTGTCCAGCCTCCTCTTTTGTCCAAAACCCCCAGGTATTCCTCCAAAATAAAATAGTATGCAAAGTGTTTGTGTCTCCTCTGATGGAGGTAAAGCTACTCCATCATGGGGTTCCTCTACTGCTCTGCCTTGACAACTCTGACCCAGCCCTAGGCATATAAAATTGAGGGACTGGATGCCCTTATATGAAGGTTGGGTTGGTTAGATTAATAGGTATCCTGAGGGGCACTGTCAGACCAGAGCTGCGTAGGGGTGAACTGAGAAGTTTTAGAGACTATGTTGGCAAGATATAGAATATGAGCACTAAGGTAGACCAGGGGGCCGGGCAGTGGTGGCGCTCGCCTTTAATCCCAGCACTTAGGAGGCAGAGGCAGGCGGATTTCTGAGTTTGAGGCCAGCCTGGTCTACAGAGTGAGTTCCAGGACAGCCAGGGCTACACAGAGAAACCCTGTCTCGAAAAACCAAACCAAAAAAAGAAAAGAAAAGAAATAAGGTAGACCAGGGAGGAGGGGTGCCTGAGAAGAACACTAAGGAGGGGTATAGTAGGCCCAAGACCACCAAGGAACCTTGCTCTCTGACTCCCAGGTTTAATATCCCTTCCTAAACCTGTCTCCCAGTTTGACCAGTTAAATCTGTCCAGAGTAAATCTGGGGAGTGTGGATTTTACTGTATACCCCTTACTGGTCTCCCACTCCAGATTCTCCCTCCCCAGTTTCCCAAGTGCTAACATTACAGCGTGTACCATCACAAGCTGCTGTGAGTACTGTGTCCCCGAGTTAGGCAAGCTCAGGAAGAGCACGAGGGCAGCACTGAAGGCCTCTGCTGACTGCATAGAGCTTCCTCTAGTGTTTACGACGACAAGCCTGTGCTTTGCTGGAAGGTTTACAAACTAGTCTGCTTCGTATGGTATCTTACGCACCTAATCTCAGTGCTTAGAAGGCTGAGGCAGGATGGCCTTGAGATCAAGGCCAGCCTGGACTATCGTGAGACTGAATCACAAAAGGCCAAAACAGACCCCCAAAGCTCTATTACATGTCCCTAAGCACACATACCTGCACATGCATGACCCGGGTCATGAGGCTTCCCACCTCCAGCACAGGTGACCACTGCAAACTACAGGACTGACTTACCCAGGCATCGGTGCAGAGGATGCAGCACTGGCCTTCAAGGGGGTGAGCTTGATCACACTCACCTGGAAGTGTTGCTGACACCTGGATGACGTTAGTGTCCTTTGTTGAATAATAAAACAAAGTAACGCAAAACACCCACGAGTGCTTTCTATAGGCTTGAAATGTTTCAGTTTATTATTTGAGACAAATTTGTAGCTTTGTCTGTCCTGGAATTCACTAGGTAGACCAGGCTAGCCTCAAACTCAACCTGTCTTGCTTCCTGAGCGCAGGGATCAAAGGCGTGTACCACCATGCCTGATCAGGAACTTTCACTATTTAAGGTATGGTGGAGTACACCTGTAATTCCAGCTCTTGAAAGGTAGGGGCAGGAGGATCAAGAGTTTAAGGCCAGCTGAGGATACCCAAGACCTTGTCTCAAAAAAAACCCTCCTAAATACTAAAACAAAGATTCAACAGCTGCAGCCCCTAGCATACTACATATACTGCAAGGTGCCAGGACCCTTGATATGAACTAGGCACCTGGAGATGGACTTGAGCATCTTCTCAGGGGAAAACCTGGCACAGGACGTGGGTTTAATGTTCCAGGCTTTGAAGGTTACAGTCGAAGTAGGGCATCCATCCTCATGCTTTAGTGTTTAGCTAAGCAGAGGGAGGGGAAGGATGTGGTCTTTTTGGGTAATTTGAGAGGAAGCCATAAAGACCAAATCGAGTGGGTGGGGTTTGGCAATCCTGTTTGAATCCCACACTTAACTCTTTGACCTGACTACCCCTGCCCACATCTGAACCTGGCACACACACCCCACTGAACATGACACAGATTTTGCCGAGTTTCGGTTTATTATGGAGGAAACATGGAAGCCGCCACAAACCCCCCCAGGCATCAGGTGAAATGCGGACAGGGGACCAGGATGGTGGGGATAGTGAGGCAGGTCGCCGGTGCCAGACGTCCAGGCACAGAAGTCCACCCTCTGACTTTCCTGCTGAGGCCTTGCACTGAGGCTCAGATGTGGCATATGACCAGACTCAGAGTGTGTGAGGACCGTGACATGCAGAACGGGAACCGGTGTCAGGTCAGCCCGGACAAATGCTATTCTTAAGCTTCTTGAATAGAAGGAAGACAAACCAGCAGCCAGATCCAGGCGCCACACAGAAGCTGGCCACGTAGAACAGAAAGCATAAGAGATTACAAGATGTGATGATTTAAATTTTTTGTTTTGTTTTGGTTTGGTTTGGTTTTCGAGACAGGGTTTCTCTGTGTAGTCTTGGCTGTCCTGGAACTCACTCTGTAGACCAGGCTGGCCTCGAACTCAGAAATCCGCCTGCCTCTGCCTCCCAAGTGCTGGGATTAAAGGTGTGTGCCACCACTGCCCGGCAGGATTTGAATGTTTTAAGAATGCAGAGCAGGATGCTTGAGAGGCTCAAAGGATCTGCCCAGATAGAGCAGAGTCTAGCAAGGGGAACATGTCAGGGTCTAGCCTGGGGAAGAACCAGAAGTCCTGAACTGTTGAGGAACAAGTATAATTGGTGCAGGTCGTCAATGGACAAGCCCAGCTCCAGGGGCAGAATGAGAGAGTCCGGGCCCTCAGACATCTTATGAGTATGGAAGGCAGGCTGAGGCAGAGAGAGGTTCAGGGCATGGTAGAACTGTTTTATCTGAGATGCAGACAGGGGCATGCTCAGATGGCTTCCTGGGGGCTCAGGCAGCGTGCTATGGTGCTGGGCACTGGACCAGGAGTTGCAGTAATCGTACTGGCAGCAACTAGCCCTATACCAGTAGTCTGAGTTGTAGATGAGGTGTTTTTCTTGACATCGGTAGGACTGGAACTGTCCACATCCCCGGATGTGGAAGTGAACCTTAGTACCTAGAGGAGAGGGGACAGTTATAATCCCGGCTAATAGCTTCCCACAGTCCCTGAACCTAACTCTTCCCGGCATTCACACAGACCACAGACCTCATTTTAGTCCATGGATTCTCAGAAGATGCAAAGAATAAATAAATAAAATAAAAATCAATTCACTTGTCTGCAAATCCTACCTCCCCTTCAGAGAGCCTTCTTTCTTTCTTCTGTGGCCCAAACAACCCTCATGCTGAAGAAACCAAACCTCACTGCTCTACCGTCAGCCCCTGCCTGGGACTTGGCTCACTGTTATAGACGGTGATCACCATGCACGGCGAGGAAGGGCTGATGGTGCACTTTTCTGAGCCAGAAATGCAGCCTAGCGAAGGGTCTTCTAAGAGGCACATGTGGCAGGTACGCATACTGGCAACCGGACCTTAGCACAGAGAATAAAGGAGACGGAGCCAGGAGCTCTTTCAAGCACACCCAGGACCAGGTCCCCCCTTCCCCCCAGACCCTGGCTTTAACTTACCCTTCCGCATCGCAAAGCCCACCGTGGTCAGCACACCTACAAGCATACAGACCCTCATTTTGGAATTTTGGGGGGAGAGGAGCAACTCCCACGGAGTATCCAAGCCCCACCTTCCTGGGATCAGACTCCCTTGATCTTCAGAGGCAGAAAAGGTCTGACAGGCAGTCTGAGCAGAAACAGCTGTGGGTGCAAAGGTGCATTCCTGCCTGAGGCAGGAGCCTGACAGGAGGAGGAGGTTATCTGTCGGCAGGAAGAATGGCCTGTCCTCACCCACCCTGTTCCTGTGTAGCCCAGCCGGATCTTTATCAGGTGTCTTATCCAAGACATGCTTTGAGAGGCCTGTACCCCCACTTCAGGGACCATGAGTTAGCTTCTGTCTCTGGCACTACCTGCTGCCCACCTACACAGCAGGGTTGGTCCACATTATGCTGGGAGAGGTTGGCCAGAGACAAGCTTCCTCGCTCTTTCCAGACGTCTGTGTCTCAGCTCTCCCTGTGTGTGTGTGTGTGTGTGTGTGTGTGTAGTGCACACAAATACCACAGAGCAACAACTAGGGTTCTCTGTCTCCTCTACAGCTCTATTTACTGAGGGGTTACATTCCCTTTAACAGCAAAACTGAGGGTACTTCCCATGAAGCCCCTAGAGCAGACACAGCTGGAGCCCAGAGAGAACAGGCCTTCTTCAGCCTTTGAAGCCTTTTCTCTTCAGTCTTGTACTTGCCGCGATCTAGAATGCTGCTCTGATATGCTATCTGTACACCTGACCAGATCCATGAAGCACCAATCTGGGCTGCTTCCAACCTACGGAGGATGGACTAGACCAGGAGGGTTCCTGGAGTCCAGCAACCCACCCCTTCCCTTCCTCAGCCCTTCCCCAGCAGCACACAGCAAGAGACTAGCTCATGGCCTTTTCTTCCTTTATTTCATATTCCCACCACAGTAACAATTCCTTTAATTTAAACTAAAAACCATAGACTTCCTGAAAGGGTGGCAGCGGAGGAATGGTGGTGTCACAGACAGAGGGAGAGGTGGGTGGGCAATCAGCGGATCGTCTTGACTGGGCTCTTGAAGTTGCTGGCGGCTTGGAGCTGCAGCTGGTAAGCCATTGGATGGATCTTGAAACCGTAGAGCCTGGTCGGGGAGGTCAGGGAGGCAGCATGGTAAGTATCTGGCTGGCCCTGCCCGCGGCGGCCACCCCTACCCCTACCCCAGCCTCCTTCTCATACCTACTCAACAAGACCCCAATTTCCTTGCACATGAATACAGGAAACATGTCTCTCTCTTATTTGGGGCGGGGGTGGGTATGAATTTTTCAAGACAGGGGTTCTCTGTGTAACAGAGCCTTGGCCTCAAACTCAGAGATCTGCCTACCTCTGCTTCCCCTTGTGCAACCAGGCTCAGCTTAAAAAATGTACCCTAAACATCAACTAAAATTAGAAGTTTAGGACAGGTAACGGCCTGTCTCATTTATGGCCTGAGGTCAACTCAGCCAACAGCGACCCTGTCAAATACTCCCTGCCTAAGCCCTGCCCCTCCTGACACCTGTGCCAAACCCAACAGAAGCCACTGTGGAAGTGTAGCTCAGGGACAGAGCACAGCTCAGCAGGCATGAGGCTGGGGTCAACCCCCAACCCACACATGAGATTTCACATTTAAGAAGCTACAGATTAGTACCTGTACAAAACGGAATCTTTCTCCTCGGTATACAATAAAAATAAGATACCAAAATGATAAGCCAAGCTAAATCACAAAGCCTGAGGATTTGGGGAAAAGGCTGAGAATCCAAGACAGCAACTCAAACCACTGTTTGAATAGTCAAGTGGCACACATTTAAAAATGCTGCTAGGCAGGTACTGTTGGCACCCCCGCTTTATGGATAAGAAAGTGGATGCACAGGCAATCAAGTAACTTCCCGGTCACTCAGCAGAAAAAAATCTCTGACTTTGGGATAGGCAGGCCTCAAGAAAAGGCTATGCTTGTCCTCAATTCTCTCCAGACCTTGGATGGCTCTTTGACCCTTTGTGACTGTCTTTGCTCCCCACCTGGGTACAAACTGGTTGGCAGGTCGCTTGGGCCGGTACTCTGGATGCACCATGAAGAGCATGTGAGGGAAACCAGTGCCAAAGTATGCGCCGTCCGTGTGGTGGTGCCGGGAGGACTTGGGTGTGTACACATCCATGCACTTGGGACAGTACAGCTTCACCATGGCCTCCCCTGGGATGTCCGAAAGGCCTAGGAGATAAGACAGCCAGACTGCAGACCAGGCGTCCCCAACCTTCCCAACCTCCCACAGGACTGAGTGCTTTAAGCCAGCTTCTTGGAGGACTGCCAGACAGTGCCCTCCTCTCCCTGATTCAACACTCACCAATGGGAAGCATCGGCTGGTTCTCACAGTATACACGAGGACAGTAGCCAAAGTCTCCCTGCTGGTACTTTTCCAACTGAGGCATATAAAACACAAGGGACTGGTGGGTTAGCGTGAAGAGACAGTCTCAACTCATTTCACTGTTCCCCTATGCCTCCCACCACTTCTAGCTAGAAGCCCCTTTTCTGTCAAGACAGGTTCTCAAACTCCTCAAGTGCCTTTTCTGTCGTGGGGCAGGCTGCAGAGTACAGGGCCATTTGCTATCTGTTCCCTGCAAACTCCTTCATTTTCTGATTTCACCTCCCTTCCTGAAAACAACACTTCAGTGGGACCCTCAGTGTGGATTCAGTCCTCCACCCAACTCTGGGCTTCTCCCTCTGTCCTCTGCCACACTCCTCGCCAGGTATGAACCAAGCCTGACTGCTGCAGAAGTAGCAGAAGCAGAGCCTCACCATTTGTGCGATGCCCCGGTTGGTGAGGATGTAGCGGGCGTGGATCAACCCATAAAGCATCTCGGCTGCCTGTTCAATCAAGTCACTCTGGTTGGGGTTGTCTTCCAGCTCTTCATCTGAAATGTGGGTGGGGTGGCCACTTGTTTAGCTCTCCTAGGTAACCCCACCTTAACCGCAAGGTTGTGCCTACAGCTTATCTAGACCTGCTTCTGAGCCTCGCCCTACCCATCATCCATCTGACCCAGAACCCTGGGCTTCTGCCTCTTCTATAGAGCCAGGACTGCTCAGCACGGCCTTCTCTGTACACCTCTTCAGTCTCTGCCTCCCTCCCTCCTCTCACAGCAAGTAAATGTAAACAAACACACACAGAGGTGGCCCTCTGGAGCAGCGGAGGGAAGAGGCAGCACACCAAACCCAAGAGGAGACTGTCATTACAAAACAGAGCTGCGCTACTTTCAGAGAGCGTGACGACAAGGCAAGAGTCAGGCGAGGAATCAACACAGTGGAGAAGCCAAGCACTGCTGTGTCTGCCACGACTCCAGCAGTCGAAAGCTAGGGCAGGAAGAGCAAGCAGTAAAGTCCAGTTGGGTTATAAGTGGATGGGGTTAGAGGCGGAAGAGAAAACACAGGAGCAAGCCAGCCAGCAAGCGATGTGGGGACAGGAGAGCTGGAGAGTCAAAAGGAAATTTAGACATTCAAGAAGCACGTCAGGCTGTGATTCTGGGACCACTCAGGAGGCAGACAGATCTCTGTAAGTTCGAGGACAGTCTACAGAACGAGTTCTAGGACAGACAAGGCTAACCAGGAAAACCCTGTCTCGAACACACCTCACAAAACAACAACACATTCAAGAAGCAAGCAAGCAGGGACCAGAAGAGAACAAAAACAAGGCACACCCAAGCACACACTTTATCACCAACCCCGCAGTCAGCAACCACCCTATGGGCCCATTACCAGGTTCCAGGTCCAAGATCATGTCTAGAGCCTGTCGGTAGTGAGGCACCTGCTCATTGAGTCCAGTAAGATTAAATTTGTCCTGGATGTAGTCTTCATCCACCTACAGGGACAGGGAAGCCAAGGGGTTGAAACTAGTATAGGAAGGCTGTCTTCCACCCGGGCCTGAGAGAGATGCCCAGCCGGCTCTCCTGTTCCCTGTTTCCAATTCTGCAGAAGGACTCAAATCTCATATAAATGGCACCTCTTTCTTGAAGGCTAACCAGATCCAGCACACAGACACTATTCACCCTCTGTCCCTCACTTTTAGAAACTGTGTTTTTCTTCTTCTTGGGGGACAGTAGATTCTCTGAGCTGAAGACCTGGGAATCATGAAGGCTAAACAGTTTGGTTTCTGAAAGGCATTTATAATTTTCTACCCCAACCCACCGTGTTTTTGTGAGTTACACAACTTTTAACATGAACTATTTTAACTGTCCCAATGGTCACCAGAGATACCTCTGTTAGCCACGCATATTGACAAACCCTTGCAATCTTAGCGCTCGGGAGACTGAGGCAGTAGGATCGCCAGGAGTTCAAGGCCAATCTAGGCTGCATTGGGAGCTCGGTCCAAATCTGCTGTCAAGCAACATAAAATGAAACATCGGGGACATGTGGCGTTAGGCCGAGCTAAACTCACCTCACAGAAGAATTCATTACCACGGAGCCCACAGAACCAGGAAATCCAGGACACCTCCTCAGAGCTACTCATCTTTATGTCCGCTGAGAAAGAAGAGCGTTAAGTGAGTGGAGACCAAAGCTGCTGCTGGGCTCGTCCCTCCTCCCACACGTTCTTCCACAACGACCAAAGAAGAATCCAGGTCCAGCCAAGCTTACAGGATCCCGGTCTCTGAAGCATCTCCAAGGTTCTCCTCTCCTTTACCTCAGCTCCCTTCGCAGGGTGCTGAGAATGAGTTCCGCTACTTTCCAGGAAATGACAGGTCCTGACCTGTGAGCCTTACCCCCGTCCCCGGCGCTCCCCGAGGCCAGGCCCCTCTCCCCTCCGTGTCATCCGCGACAGGGCCCTCGGCCCCGGCTCCCCACCACCGCAGGTGCCTGTATGTTCCTGGCGCCTGTCCCAAGGCTCCCGAAGTTCATTTTATCCAACAGAGCCGGCCTCTCCTGCCCTCGCAGGGTCGGCGAGGGCACCGCACTTCCGTGGGACTCACGAGCGTCCCCACCAGACGCCTCCTCTCCCCAGGCCCCCCAACCTCCTCCGGCTACCGACCCGGTCACTTCCTCCGTCGCCCCCACGTCGAGGAGCAACGATCAGAGCGCCGCACCCAGGGACGGGCGACTCGGCGCGGAGACAACCCCACACTCACCAGCCGGACAGGGGGGACTGGGACTGGGGCGGGGAAGGGGAGCTGTGCTTCCAAGGAACGGCAGAGACCGCTACTGCGCAGAAAGCCGACCCGGCCGCGGCAGACCAAGCGGGGAGGGGGTGAACTGGTAACTGGTGAGGGTTTAGGGGAGAAGAGGGCAACGCGCAGGCGCTAAGGACCGCCCCCCTACCTCGGTGGACGCCGGGAGATGGAGTCCCGTCAGCAGAGAGAAACTGACGAAATGAGGGCAAGGCAAACTACCAATCCCAGGAGGACCCGCGCGCGACGCTAAGGCCGCGAGGCCCTAGGAAGCCGCCCCGGGGAGGGCGGGGCGGGCCGAGGCGCCACCGGAAGCGGAAGCGGAGCACAGCATCTTTCCGACCAGGAAGCCTGGGAAATATAGTCTTATTAGGCTCGCTAGGCTGCGGGCCTGGTGTTCCGAGTGATTGCCATCCCCGCGGTGCTCCCTCAACGCTCCGCTCTGTTTTTTCTCCCCCATCCCCGTGCCAGGCCAGCCTCCTGGACCCTGGCTCTCCTGTCAGGCCCGCGACAGAGTGCGCTCGGGCTCCGGCATGCGCACAGGTGTGGAGAAGGACTTAGGTCGAGCGTGCTTGGGACGCGCTGAGCTGCGCGCACGGCGTGAGAGCCTGGATCGCCCTGAGCGCTGACCTGAGGTGGGGCCAGACATTCTGCCGCTCGTCCCTTTGTACTTCTCCATGTCCTCAGAGCTGGAGTGGAGCGTCCTGCTGCGGACCCTAACTGTTCTGCAAGCCCTGCTCAGGGTAGTGTTGAGGGGTGCCGTGGTGTTACTTCATCTCACAGCTCCTTGGCATTCCACAGGTCTCCCCCTCTGTGTCCTCAGAGTCTTCCTGAATGCAGAGCGTGGCCTCCCAGCTCCAGAAAAGGAGCTTGGTGCGGGAGGGACCAGGGCGAGGGTGGCGAAGAGCATTGTGGGGGCGTTATGGAAAAGCAGGACCCCCCAACCGACGGGTTCCCCCCTCGGGTCCTCGCGCTCCCGGGCACGCGATGCTTTACGCTTGTGATGCTTGGGAAGGTTCCAGCGCGGGAAACTGAACCCTGTGGGTGTTTTGTTGTTGTTGCTGCTGCTGCTGCTGCTGCGCATGCGTCACTCCTCCCTGTGGCTGGTTATTTGATTGTATCGACTCTTCGCAGATTACGAGAGCGACATTTTGCGGTACGGAAGTGACAATCAGCGTCTCTCCCCACCCCCGAAACCTTCCGGAATAATGTCACGCCTGTTTTTATCTGGGAAAAGGAGACCCCCTAGATGAGATCGAGGAGCAAGATTTAAAAGGTCGACCTGATATTTCCTAACGGTATGTGTTAGAGGACGAGAAAATGTTTTCAGAGACAGCTTGCCATTTTTGTTTGGCAGGATGATGGGAGTTGAACGCAGGACCCCCTAGACAACTGTCTTGTGGAGTAGTTTTTTTTCCTGTTACCCTTTTAATTTTCTGTGTGACTGATAGAACCTAGAATTCTCACATTCGAGACAAGCATTCTACACAGAGCCGTATCTACCATGCCCTCGTGAAATTTTACTAACATTGTGGCAGGATCCCGGGGTCTGTTTTACCGTGAGCCCCGGGCTCTATAGAATCCTAGGTATGGAGTCCGTTTGGGGATGGGAGGCCCATTTTAGTTCTAGGCTGCTTTCTCATCCCAGAGGGCCCCGGAGGTGGTGCTGGTCGTCTGCACAAGAGCTACCTGGAAGGTTGGATCGCTTTGGAATCCTTGCCTTGCCCAGTCTTCATTTTCTCACGTCTTCCCACAGCCATGCCCAGGCCATCCCTTATCGAGTTTACTCCAGCTGCCGACTCCAGTGACCTCTGGAAGGATGGTCAGCAGCAACCACAGCCTGAGGAACCAGAGCCCGTCCTGGATGGGGCTGCAGCCCGGGCTTTCTACGAGGCTCTAATTGCAGATGACAGTAGCGCCTCTAAGCCCCAGGGAGCTGAACCTACCAGGGGGAGAAAGAGGAAGAGAAGAGTGACAAGGGAGCCTGCGGCAACAGGAGTCCCGAGACAAGGAAGACCGCTGGAGGATGAAGACAAGATGACACAGTGGATCCTGCTGGCAGCCCAGAATGGGGATCTGACAGAACTTCGGAGGCTGCTGGAACCCCAAGAGGCAGGGGGAGCTGGAGGGAATATCAATGCTCGTGACGCCTTCTGGTGGACTCCCTTGATGTGTGCTGCCCGAGCAGGCCAGGGTGCTGCTGTGCGCTATCTCCTGGGCCGAGGGGCTGCCTGGGTCGGAGTGTGTGAACTGGGAGGCAGAGACGCTGCTCAGCTGGCTGAGGAAGCAGGCTTTCCTGAGGTAGCCCGCATGGTCAGAGAGAGTCCTGGAGAGACAAGGAGCCCGGAGGACCAGAACCGGTGAGGAGGGAGCCTTCGCTTAGACCCCTCTTTATTGTGTTCTTCTTTTCATGGACACCTCATACCAAGGGCCCTACAGCAGCTAAAGGGAGCCATTATCCTCCACGGTAGTTCAGTCAGGAGTAGTAATGAGCGTGGCCTTTGTGCATTTAAATCTTGGTTCCATTTATTTGCAGTGCCAGCCTAAGGTCTGCACATCTCAGCCCTTGTCTGAGAACTGGGGATAAGACATTTTCTCAAAGGGATGTTAAGATGCAGTAGGTTACTGTGGAAGGTGATGGGACGTGCTTGTCATGTGGTACGCACTTTATAAATGCCAGCGCTATTCCTGAGAGCCTGAGATCTACCCCACAGTGTTCCAAATAGTCCCTTCCAAACAAACGGAGAGGACCTGGCGTGGCTTGGTTAGACACCTGCCTAACCCTGGGAAGACCCTGGGGTCCCCCTCCAAGACAAGATACAACCAAAGACGCTGCTGAAATTAGGGGAAAGGCATAAGGCACTCTGCCCTGCTCCACCTGGTGAACAACTTGAGGCCTCCGTTGTCTTTCTCCCCTGTAATTTCTTTCTTTCTCTGCAGATCTCCCCCCTCCTCCTCCCAGTTCTGTGAGGACTGTGGTGCCCACTTTGAAGACTCCAACCACCGCACATCTACTGCTCACCTGCTGTCACTGTCTAGGGGACCTCAGCCCTCCAACCTTCCCGTTGGGGTGCCCACTTCCAGTCCTGGCTTCAGGCTGCTGCTGAGGGGTGGCTGGGAACCAGGAATGGGGCTAGGACCACGGGGTGAGGGCCGTGCCAACCCTATTCCCACTGTCCTCAAGAGGGACCAGGAAGGACTGGGCTATCGATCCCCACCCCAGCCCCGAGTCACACACTTTGCGGCTCGGGATACCCGGGCTGTGTCTGGGCGAGAGAGAGTACCTCGAGTTACCACACTGAGTCAGAGGGAGAGCAGAAGGCAAGAGGAGAAGGACAGAGTCTGGGAGCGAAATCTAAGACTGTACATGAACCTCGACTTCTGACTGATACCGATTGGCCTGGTCTGGCCCTCGCTGGACTTGGGCCTCTGACGTGGACACTTGGACTTCCAGACCCTTAGGCCTTGGCTCTGCTTTTAGAGAGAAGGGCTAGAGTTGGGAGATAAATAAACTTCCTTTCTTGTGGCTTGTTGACTTTCTTGCACGATACAGTAGGGAAACTGGAACAAATATGAGAGTCACATGGAAGTCTCACCTGAGCCAAAAGGGCTAGCTCTCTGGGTGACGAGAGTCCCTAGTCCTGTGGGCTGCATGCTACCTGCTCCTTGAAACACCCCCCCACCAGAAATTGCCCCCACGATGTGCAAATCTCCCCTCTGAGTGTGCGTCTAGGCCAATCCAGTCAAATCAGTGACTTGTATCATAAACCAAGTGTGCTATGTGCTGAAAACAAAAGACAAAGCCAAGCCTTGAACCCCTCAAGGAAGCCAGCTGTGATGAAATACGATGCCTGGTGGTAGGCAAGTTGAAAGCCCTCAGAGAGGAAGTAGAGTCCTACAGGATTGGCCGGTGCAACTAACATCATCCAACCCCAGCCTATGTGGCATTCTAGGTCGCAGTCAGATAAAAAGTTTAAGATTTTTTTTTTTTGAGACACAATCTCATTATGTAGACCAGGCTGGCCTCAAACGCAGTTAAAACTGCCATGCAGCTTTACAGTATGGGGCATGTAACCTAGGGCTTCATATCTGCTTACTGAGTTACGATTCCCAGGCCTAAGGCAAACCTAAGACTCCATTTCACCCCCTGAAGACCAAGCAACATGCTTTTCTACATTTCCCTTTCGTACTTGGCACCCCACCCCCTTGGGATGCTTATACCGAGTGCTAGGAACATGAAAGCTTTCAGATCCCTGTCTGAAAGGCCAAAGGGCGCTGCTTAAGTCACGTGGCTCCTGATATTTACCTTTCTGGACCAGCATTACAGAAATCACAGGTAAGAAATGGAGGAATGGCGGGGGTTGTGGGAAAGAACCAGCAGCCCAAATCCTAACACTAGGGAAGCAGAGGCAAAAGGATTATTGACTCAAAGCCAGCCTGGGCTATATAAGTCTAAGGCTTTCCTGAGATAGGTATATATATAAAACTTGTCCTTACAAACAAACAAAGCCGGACAGTGATGGAGCAGTCCTTTAATCTCAAGGAGGCAAGAGGCAGGCGGATCTCTCTGAGGTGGAGGCCAGCCTGGTCTACAGAGTTCATTCCAGGATCGCCAAGGCTACTCTGAAAAACAAAACGAAAAATCCCAATCCAAGGGCTGAGTACCTAACCAGTGTCGGCGGTAGGCGGCTCTGGGAGGTGAACGGCAGAACCCGGGTTCGTACTCAGGGTCTGGCCTCAGGTGGTCCTCTCTCTACGCCTGCGCTAGTGAATCGCGGGGGCTTCGGGGGAGGTCGCTCTGTCGGGTCCGCCTCACGGGTTGAGCTCCGCCCCCGCTGGTCCCTCCCGACCTGGTACAGCTGCTTCCGGGCTCGCACGGCTAAGGGAGGTCGCTCCCCGGACGCTGGGCCCCTGAGCTCCTCGCTGCGCGAGCACCCAGACGCCTGGGTCCCCAGGTAGGCCTGCACTGTGTCTTGCGTCTGCGATCTCCAAGGACATCTCTGTTCTGACCTTGCGGAGGCCGCGTCTCAGCTGCGCCCTCGCGGGACAGTGGGGCCACTTTGTGGAACGATAGCTTCCTAAGTTAAGGGATGCATATAACTGGCTGGAGTTCGCTGGACACTTCCATCCTGTCTTCCTCTCTACAGAGACTTCCTGTTCCTTGAGCTCCCTTGGGCCGCGATTTAAGGTTCCTTAAATTCAGGATCTAAGGACCACCTTCTTTCCTTCTTCAATGGAGCACCACCTCTCCCCTTTCTGGGGCACCTTGGGATGTGGTTTTGGTGAGTGAAACTTGGGGTACTGACTGCTGGGAAGCAAATCTGAAAGCACAGAATATTGTGGGGGTGACCCTGGCCTTATCGGGCCCTGGAAGTCTTGTTAGTGTGTGAGCTGGCAAATGGATTTCTTTTCCCTTAGACTGACACGGAAGCAGGCCGTTTACCACACTTGGGGCCGTGTGAGTTCTTTCTGAATTCAGAGTAGGACGATATCACCAAGCAGATATTTCTTCTGAACCGGAACTGATTCTGGCTTCTGAGGAGATCCTGAGAGTCTCAAGCAGAGTCAGGAAGTGGTCACAGATTTGGGGACCTCATTACACAGCTCAGTTATGTTCCTTCGACGGCTTGGTGGCTGGCTACCTCGACCTTGGGGCCGAAAGAAATCAACGAAGGCTGATTTGCCTGCCCCAGAACCCAGATGGGTGGACAGCTCCCCGGAGAATTCAGGGAGTGACTGGGACAGTGCTCCAGAGACCATGGGAGATGTGGGGCCTCTTAAGACCAAGGGTTCAGGAACACGGAGGCCCCCCGGGGCTGCTCCAGAGTCTAGCAGGGACATCAAAGTGGATCAGCTGGGGAGCAAAAGAATGGATTCCCTCAAGAGGGACAAGACTGCCTCTACCATCGAAGAGCCTGCAAGACAGGAGACTGGGGGAGCCATTCCTAAACTGGATTGGGATTCTGTGGATTCAGGCGGCATGAAAAACCTTGAAGAGTCTCCCCAAGGGAGACTAGGCACCACTGGGCCAGAAGTCCTACTGGAGAAACCTAGTCGCCGTCAGAAGCTGCTGCATTGGCTACGGGGGGATCCAGGGGCTCCCTCACGTTACGCGCAGGACCCGGAGGAGTACCTGCAGATCTCTACCAACTTGACCCTGCACCTGCTGGAGCTGCTTGCCTCGGCCTTGCTGGCTCTGTGCTCTAGGCCACTCCGAGCCATCTTGGATGCTTTGGGCCTTCGAGGACCTGTGGGCCTCTGGCTACACGGGCTACTGTGTTTCCTGGCTGCCCTACACGGGCTCCACGCTGTGCTGAGCCTACTTACTGCCCACCCCCTGCATTTTGCCTGCCTCTTTGGCCTGTTGCAGGCCCTGGTGCTGGCTGTCAGCCTCCGGGAACCTGTTGAGGATGAGGAGACCGCTGATTGGGAGAGCGAGGGGCAGGAGAGAGAGGCCAAGGAGCAGAGGGAAGGTCCCAGAAGGGGGTTGTGACTGAGGGAGGGTGGGAGCAAAGGGTAAAGATAGTGGGGTGGCCTTTAGGAGGAAGATGGGGAAACCTGGATTGTAAGCACAGCAACCTCAGGGATGGGGAGGAAACCCAGGCACAGGGGCTCCTGTCACACACTCGACAGACAGGGCTGTCTAGGGTGGCCAGTCATGGACAATGGGGCATCGCCATTGAAGTCACCAGCTGTTGTTATTTTTTTGCTTTTACATTTACCCACCGTTTTGTTTTTTAATTTCCACCTCCACTTTTTAAAAGCAAAATAGAATAAAGGCAACCGTGGAGAATGGACGCCACGGGGCCCTTTCCAAGCCCAGGGGTGGATGGGGCCAGAGGCAGGACAGAGATCTCTGCATTAAGAGGTGATGGGGAAGCCGGGCGGTGGTGGCGCACGCCTTTAATCCCAGCACTCGGGAGGCAGAGGCAGGCGGATTTCTGAGTTCGAGGCCAGCCTGGTCTACAGAGTGAGTTCCAGGACAGCCCGGGCTATACAGAGAAACCCTGTCTCGAAAAAAAAAAAACCAAAAAAAAAAAAAAAAAAAGAGGTGATGGGGAGACCCATGGTGTCCCTTGGATCCTAGGACCAGAATCATCTAGAGGAGAGTGAGGCTGTGAGGGAGGAGGGGCTAGCGTCTGATACTCCTTGGTGGGAGTCGGAAGAAACTGGGCTGCTGTGGGCCGGGTTGTCATGAGGACCAGCACAGAAGAGCTGGCCGTGGGGCAAGTACAGCGCCTGCCTCTCCACTCAGGCTAGGGGCTTGCTCACTCAGCAATAAATGTACCACACTACATCCTAAATACACCAGTCCAACGTGAGACGTTCCGCTCAGTGTCCTTCCTGACGGCGTGAGGTGGTGGAGGTGTCGATCTGGGGGAGGGGAGGGTCAGGGTGGAGAGATGATTGAGGATCGACAAATCATCTTTATTATCCACGGGAGGGAGCAGGAGTCTCCGGCTTCTCCCCTCAAAGCTCAGTTCCTATCTTGTCCGTCTAGGACGCGGGTGAAGTCACTGGTCACTTGCTGGACAGTGGGCAGGCCTCTGTGGTGGGAGGAGGGAGAGAGTAAGAGGGTGGATGTCCAGGGGAGGAGTGCCGTTGGTGCTGGAGCCGGGGTAGGAGAGCCTTCTGCTCTATATCCGGCCCTCTCCTCTCTTTATCTAAAACAGTGGTTCTCTAACTGTGGGTCATGACCCCTTTGGGGGGCTCACACAGCCCTTTCACAGGGGTGGTGTATCAGATACCCTGCATGTCAGATATTCACACGGTTCATAAAAGTAGTAAAGTTACAGTTATGAAGTAGCAATGAAATAGTTTTATGGTTGGTGTGTGGGGGGGGTCACCATAGCATGAGGAACCGTGTTAAAGCATTAGGAAGGTTGAGGACCACTGCTAAGAGACACCCTCACTATATATGGTCCTGGCTGTCCTGAAACTCACTTGTATACCAGACTGGCTTTAAATCTGAGACGATTCTTCTGCCTCTGCCACCTGAGTGGCAGAGATTGCAGTGTGTGTCACTATTCCTGACTCCACACAAGTCCTTCTGGCACCAATCTAGCCCGTTGAGGATTAGAGGGGTCACTGTACCCACTCTGATAGTGTCTGCCTTTGGCCATGGCTTCTGCTGACATCACACAAAGCTCTTTACAGGCCCCACAGAAGCCTTGGTGACGACTTCAACCCCTCACCTTGATCCCTGGGAGTCACTAAGAAGGCTCTGAAGTCCAGGCAAGAGGTCAGAGACTGGAATTCCTCTACACACTTCTCTGGAGGGTGTGGTGATCGATCTGGAAGGACAAGGAACATCCGGGCCAGTCAACGTTCCTGCTCCTTAGCCCTGCCTTCCCAGTTCTCAAAAGACCTGCTGAAGTGCCCACCCTGTTCTGAGAGGACTTTAAAGAGTACCAACTAGGGAGGCTCTTTTTTTTTTTTAATTTTATTTATTTTATGTATATGAGTACAACTGTTGCTGTCTTCAGACACACCAGAAGAGGGCGTCAGATCCCATTACAGATGGTTGTGAGCCACCATGTGGTTGCTGGGAATTGAACTCAGGACCTCTGGAAGAGCAGTCAGTGCTCTTAACTGCTGAGCCATGTCTCCAGCCCCTAGGGAGGCTCTTTAGCCTTTCCGTTTCCCTTGGATATTCCCTGCCTGTATCCCCACTCACTGTAGAGGAGAAAGCGCTGGTAACCCTGGCCCATCTCTTTCAGCATGATTCCTCCTGGACACGAGCTGGAGAAGAGGTCTGTTTTCATGTCTGGGCGTCCTGTTGGGATCAGGAGAGGATCATGAGAATCAACCTTCCGCAAACCCACTGAATCAGGTCTACTAGTAAGGACCATGATCTCAGCTGCTCAGGAAGCTGAGGCAGGAGGGTTTCACATTCAAGGCCTAACCATATTCAATGCTTTAGGGTTACAGGGTGAGCTCAACAAACATCAGGGCAACTTAGTGAAATCCTGTCTCAAAATAAAAAGGGTCTGGGGATATGGTTCAGTGCTGGTGTGCTTCCTTAGCATGCAGGAGGTCCTGGGTTCAAGCTTCAATTCTGAGGGGGAGACAGCTCAGGGAGATTAGACAAGGGGAGGGCTGGTGAGAACCAACCTTCAGTTCTGAGTTCTGTGTTTCCTTTCCCTTCAGTCAAACGATATGTCCATTTCCGGGGCACACAGACCCCGTCTTTCCTGCAGAGGTGGCAGTGTCAAGATAGGAAGATTGAGTGTCATTCCACCCACACAGTGACAACCTTTATTCCATCTCTCTCTTCCCCACACCCTAGCTCTTTGGGTTTCAAGCCACCAAGAGATAGCTAGGCCCATTCCAGTCTCTAGAAAGTGACTTTAACGCTGTGGAATTCAGTGGGCAGAGAGTGATGGAGCCCGACTCTGGGTGGGGTGACTGCTCACAGTCGGGACAGAGAACACACCCAGTGGTGCCTCTGCCTCCTTCCCCGACACTCACGTGCGGATGGTAGCTCGAAGCTGGAGCTGCCTTGGGGCAGAGCCGGCAGCCATGTTGAAGACGATATTGTCCACCGGATCAAAAGTTGCCAACTCTTCCATGGTGGGGGCTGCTCCCGCAATAAAGTACCACAGGCCCAGGTGGGGCTCCGGGGTCTGGAGAGGCAATGAAGGGAACAAAAGGACAAGTTGCTGGGTGCATCACAGTTCCGTCCAACATCCCCATCCGTCAGCAGAGCAAGACTTGAGGCTTGCCGTTCTGGTGGCCTACATTGTTTGCAACAGGGAGCCATCCGTGTGTTCCACACACCCCCTTCCTCCCTTCCTTTCCCAACATGCTTTCTGGCCATCATGAGCTACCCACCCACCCAAGACTTTCAGCTTCTACTGTCTATGCTTTCCCTCGGTCCATACCTCTGTATCATCCATTTCCAGTGTTGTTAGTTGACTGTGCTCAGGGCACTGGTTCATGGCGTTAAACAGAAGGCCATAGAGATAGAGCACAGCTGCCCAAACTTGGTGGAACATCTCGGGAGGAGAGCCGGTGCTCTGCAGTCGAGGGGACCTCTGCCTTAACTGTTCTCTGCTGGCCGCTCAGTCCACTCTGCCTCCAGCCCCCTTGCCTCGACCCTTGACCCTTTAACCTGCTAATAAGTAACTTCAATCTTGTTTTCCAACCCAAGCCTAGATTAACTATGGCATTGGGGCATTCCGCCCCCTCTTCCGGATGCAACCACCCTACAATATACCCTGGCACGACCGGTGACTCTGAGGCCTTAGGAGGGAAGCTGAACCCTGTGGTAGAAACCTAGAGTCTTCCAAACTGTATCTGATTGGAGCTCTGCTGTGATGTGAAGCACCGAAGAGAAGGGACTGGGTCAGGTCTTTCATTCATTTGCTCGGCAAGTTTGGAATTTTAGTTGTTTGCCAGGAACTAGCTAATCCCGGAGGACGATTTTTTTAAAAGCGGAAAACAGCTTTGCTTTGCAAACAGTCGGTTGCTGCGCAAGCTGATAAGTGTTAGAACTGGCTCCAGCCGGTTGCTAGGGCATGGTGGACTTCTTTTTTCCTTTTAAGACAGGGTCTTACTATGTAGCTTTGGTTGTCCTAGGATTCACTATGTAAGCCAGCTGGACTCATAGACATCATCTGCCTGCCTTTGTCTCCCAGGTGCTAAGATTAAAGGCTTGTGCCATTTTGCCCAGCCTGGATTCCTCTTGTGAGCTTATAGTAGGGGAACTTGTAAGAACACACGAGGAAAAGCTCACTGACAAGTAGGTTCATGCTTATTCAGACTTTGATAGTAGTGAAGACATCATCCTACTAGACTCTAATGGTTAAAAGTGTAACACTAGCATGGCGAGTGGCTCTAATCCCTAGCTTGACGATTAGACGTAAGAACTCATTCATACCAAGCAAACTCAGTGGCAACACTGATCCAGCCTCCTGGGGCAATTGTATTGATTTCTGTCTTTTTCCCCCCATCTCTGGAATGGACAACCCATTAGTCTCAGAAGACTAAATGATATCATGTATACATCAAGAACCAAGTATATAGTCATTATCATCAGTAACTGCAAAGCACCCACTGCAACTTCTGGTAGTGATTTTTTTTTTTTTTTTAATGTATATGAGTACACTGGCGTTGTCTTTAGACACCAGAAGAGGGCATCAGATCTCATTGCAGATGGTTGTGAGCCACCATCCGGTTGCTAGGAATTGAACTCAGGACCTCTGGAAGAGCAGCAGTCAGTGCTCTTAACTGCTGAGCCATCTTTCCAGCCCTCTGGTAGTGATTTTTAAAGATTTATAATTTATTTTATTTATATGAGTACACTGTAGCTGTCTTCAGACACACCAGTAGAGGACATCAGATCCCATTACAGATGATTGTGAGCTACTATATGGTTGCTGGGAATTGAACTCAGGACCTCTGGAAGAGCAGTCAGTGGTCTTAACCACTGAGCCATATTTCTAGCCCACGAAAATTTTATAATAAAATACTAAATCTGGGTCTGTAGAAGTGGCTCAGCAGTGAGCCAAGCCGAAGGACCTGACTTTGATCCCCAGGTAATTCAGGGTAACCGTGAGACAGCATGTAAAAATCTCATCATATAATGCTTACTGGAACTTTCATCAGTACAGGCATCTAAGAAGAAGTGGGGAAGAATGCAGAGAAACTTAACCGTCCCGCCCTGCTCAATTCCCTAGGCGGGGGGCCTTTCGATCCCCTTTCTTAAAGTCTTGTCCTTCAATCCGATCCCCAAGGCACCTGTTTCCTTTCTTTTTTGTACAAAGCTCTTAAAAAGCAGTAGAAATGGCT